CGTTTGACCACGGCTAGCCCTTTACCAGCCTGACCCTATATCAGCTAACATGGCCCGTCGAGGAAAGCGATGACTAGGCATACGTAGCACATGTCCAAACCATCTCAGTCGATGTAATTTCACAGTCTCGTCGACTGACTTCCCCTCCTTACCTAGCAGTCGACGCCTAACCTCAATATTGCTCACCTTATCATACCACTTCACGCGGGAGATAGGACGCAGACACCTATGATCAAAGACAGCTAATCTTTTCAAGCCTTCTGCGCTCAATGGCCAGGTCTCACAGCCATAAAGGAGGACGGAGCGGACTGTTGAGCAGTACACACGCCCCTTGGTCGATAGTCGGATATCGCGTCTACGCCAGAGGTGGCGTAAACTGGCATATGCGAAACTAGCCCTCTGTATTCGTGCTGAGAATAAAACATTATCAGGGTGAGGCGCGTGCAAATAACACACAGCCTTCTTCAAACCTTGCACACAACCATTAGGTCGCGTACTATCCGCTACCTAACGGCTTTTGTCAGTCGATCAGTAAATGATGTCTAATTTTCTGGACGACTGGTGATGATATCCTGATAAACTGGTGCATTTTTGTGTTAAGTCACATTATATTTTGACTTATCATAGAATACTGACAATAAGTGCCTGGAGTTGACACGGGATGATGACCGATTGCGTCACTAGTCTTGTTTACAATGTAGATGTAATCAGTACAATGCCACCATAGCCGTCCACAGTCTCGTACACTGTTTAGTTGAACAACCAGTTTCAGTCTTTGATTACAGAACGACGTATGATTGTCGAAGATGCAGACAACTGGTTCTCCATATTTTCTGATAGACTGTTATTCAAAACGTCTAAATTCTTCATAAACAGAATATTTTTGACCTTCCAGTTTATAAAACCTCACCTCGTTTACGAGCTCGCTAGCTTTCTAGCCGGTCCCAAACTCGCGTGAAGAGTAAAGGTCGGACGTGGGGGGTAGCGATCCTACACCACCAAAACAATCAATCTGCTACACAAACTTCAGTGCACAGGAAAAATACAGAAAATATAACAAATCAGACTTAATTCTCTCTGGAATTAGAGAGGCGAAATGACATAGCAGGCTGGTGAAAGCCTTCGGGAAGCCAGTCAGTTGATGTGTCGTCTTCCAATAATGTCAAGAACAACAATGTGAGTGTGGAGTGTTCGTACAATGTACAAAGCTGGAAAGGCTGCCGAGTTAGCCAAAGAAATGAGGAGATAAGGTATAGAAGTGCTGGGAATTTGCGAGAGCAGATGAAATGGATGTGGATTGTCAAAATTGTCAACTGGAGAGTCAATAATCTACTCCGATCTGTCATCCAGACGACGACTACGAGCACACTGAGTCAGTCAATAGCTATCATGATGTAACCAGTGGCAGCCAAAGCCCTAATACAGTAAGAACCAATCTCCTCCAGCAAGATCATGACAACAAGATTCAAATCAAAAGGAAGGTCACAATTATCCAATGCTACGGACAGTGCTACAAACAATGCGGAACGAGACAAGAAGGAAGAGTTTTACAGACAACTACAAACAGTAATGGACAACATTCCGAAAGCTGGCACAAAAATCCTCACAGGCGATATGAATGCTAGCCGAAATGGGAGCAAATTATATAGGAAGAGAAATCATCATCGATCGAGAGTCTCTGGGAGAAATGAATGAGAACGGAGAATTATCCGCAGAATTCTGCGCTTTCAATGATCTGGTGATCGGAGGCAGTGTGTACAAACACAAGGATATACTCACAGCAACATGGATTTCGCCTGAAGGAAATACCACAAACCAGATAGATTTCATCTCAACACTGTTCAAGGATGTGAAGACGCAGTCTTCTGGATACAAAGTCGACAAGGAGAGCAGATGTGGGCTCACACCGTCATCTAGTTTTAGGAACCTTCAAGGTGAAGATGAAATCCCTCAAAACAAATGGAGACAGGCCACAACTCAAGTTTGGCATTCAGAAACTGAACCACAAAACCACAAATCAGAGCAAAGTCGGAGACATATGATTATGAGCAATAATTTGTGCTCGATAAGTCATCAGTTAATATAACTGTACAACACTGTGTGATTTATGAAAATAAAATCTTATCTATAATGGAGTTATACTCTACTACTGTGCCCAAGTTTTATACTTACATCAAGAACAAATAGCACCAGTCATCATCAATGGGAGAAATTTGAAAGAGGTTACTTCCTTCAATTATCTCGGCAGCATTGTTTCAGTTACAGGTAGCAAGCACGCGTGAGGATGTGAATGCCAGCCAGAATTGGAAAGCCAAGACAAACCTTCATCACTCTGAAATCAGTTTGGACATCCTCCGCACTCAGCCAGCATAAAGAGCAAGATTCGGATTTTCAACACCAATCTTAAGCCAGTCACTTCTTCTATATAGGTCAGAAACGTGGCCAGCGGATCACGAAAGCCAACTGCAGACATTTATCAACAACAGCTGCCTTCGCTGAATCCATATTAAAGATCAAATAGCCAGCGAGAAAGAATCAGCAACGAGAAATTATGGGGACAAACCAATCAAAAAAATCGATTGCTCAACGAATATGTGGGAGAAAATGAAGATGGACTGGACACACACTGAGGAGACCGTCGAATGACATCGCATGCCAAGTCATGGCTGCAGTGGAATCAGAATGGGGGAAACGACGATTCGGGAGTGTGGTCAATGGTGACATGGAGGAGATTGGTGTTGTGAGGAGGAGATGAGAGATTATGGACGATTCGTGGACCTGCCTAAAGAGGATAGCAGAGAATAGGACAAAGTGGAGATGCGCTGTTGAAGCCCTGTATTCCACTCGGAACCAAAGGGAATAAAAAGAATAATAGTAAAATTCTTAAGCATGACACTGACGACACTTTGGCCGCAACCATTACGTACTGGTTCAAATAATTAACAGACACTTCTCTACTCTCATACAGGCTAATCTGGAATGAATTTTCAACGCACAAACATGCAATAAAGTGTAACACTTCAAAGTTGCCACTCTACACACACACACACACAAATAGAGCAAACACATACAGATACAGAAAGAAAAAATGTTACCAACAGTTTCAAGCCACTGGTGGTTACTAGCATCTCTGCACTTCCTACATGGATTAAACGCATAGCCTAAAACTGCATGCATTGTTGCCATGTTTCGATTCGCTTTCCAACACAACCCGACGTCAACTAACATCAATCGACGAGGAGGAGCAATGGCTTGGTGTGCATGCGTAACATGTGCCCCTGCCATTTCAATCGATGCAGCTTCACAAACTGATTGATTAACTCTCCTACTCACATAACTTAAATATCTCCCACTATATTATACCGCTTAACACCCATCCTGCAAGTGTAACTCAACGTGAAAAAGGCTCTCTCTTCTAATCTAAAACGAAGATAAGCACATGGAGTCCAGAACATGACTGCGTTTACACAGTTGTCAATTTTAAACTATGATTTATACGTTTTGTTAGCCTCACAATCAACAATCCGCAAGTCTACACACACTTATGCCCCACTAATACAGATAAGTGCATACGTGTATCACGTTTCGCGTTAAAAGAGGGGATTAGGTCAAAAAAAATGTGTAATGTTTTGTGATCATAACGTTATACTTTTATTTTACAATATGGCATAGGATAAGATGAATCTCAGAAAACCATAACTACATATCCGGTATTACCAATAATCGAAACTGGTAAATACCCAAAAATTGGTTTCAAATTTATGACCAGCCAAACATGTAGCCGAGTGCTTTGGATATTAATCCAGAATCCCTGTCCCGTCGAACCTACAGTAATGAAAAAAAAACAAATTAAGGAATAAAGGGGTTTGTAAACAATTATATCAGTTAAGTATAATCTGAACGAGGTAAAATGTTAACTCAAGTAGTCACCGACAATTTCGGTCTGTATACAATCGCTGAGTTTCATTCTAAAAGGAATTGCTGATATGCAGTGCTTAGAATGCTTATTTCTTCCTAAGCTTCACTTGTTCATGTGTGTGCTGATGATGAGTCCCAAACGAAAATGAAACAGCTGTCCAGTACACCCACGTTCTCCAGTGGTTCTCTAACCGATGTCAGCTCATGATGAAATCCTGTAACCAGTCAAATCCCCGCAAACCAACACCTTGATAGTTAATCTAATTCTAACTAGCAACTGCCTGTATACAGAAAGTTACGTGGAGTTCTAGTGAGAAGTCGCAACCAGCGGAGTCCACCAAGTCAGGGAGGAGAACAGTTACTCGACCATGACATTGACTGGCGGTTGCGTTATAAACATCGTCAATTAGCAGAAGATGGAATTCATGGATTGACCATCGGATCAGGCAGGTGTCCCAGTGGCTTTATGGCCTACAACCTCACCTTGTAACCAGAAGGTCCTAGGTTCGAAACCCCATGGGTGAGTACTGTTGAAGAGTCCAGAACTAGGATGAGATACCAGTCCAGTACTCCCAGGTTCTTTAATGGTCCTCTAACTGATATCAATCCGTGACCAAAATTGATCACAAAGTTTATTATATTACTCTGCTCACGATTACTCCTACTAGTACTACTAAAAATTTCTCATAGAAACATGCCTAGATACGCACTTCACTACATCCTCATACCTCGTTGACTGGTAGATACTATGCACTTTCACTCAATTCCATAACAGGCTATAGAAGAAACTGCTATTTTTGGCACATTCAATAACTGCAACAATTATTCAGGCTTAGTGTAAGAGTAGAGTTTGGGTATCGTGGTAGAAAATAATCCAATATATCGGATGATTCGATCAGCAAAGATTCGGTGATTAAACTCTCCCTCCACTTAACTATGTTATTATATTGTGCCATGTACTACTAGCAAAATTTATCAATAGTATATAGGTGCAGATTGATAGGAAGTAACCTAAATTGAAAAACAACATTTTGAAACAATAGCTACAGAAATAGAAGTGTTTATTTCTCAAATTTGCAACTCGCCTACGTTGTGGTCAGAAAACAACCTCAAGATTTAACCCCCAAAAAATCAACAACTAATCAGAACAACCTACTGTCAGTAGACAACTTCACGTCCCAAAAGTTTGACCTTCAGAAAACTAACAACCAATCAGAATAGTTTATTATTCGTTGATCTAGTCGACCATAAATATAGCTAAAAACGTATAAATACGGTGAGTCTCACTAACAAAAAGGTCCCTTACCAAGTCTTATCCGGTTACAGATTCATAGTCGCGGACACTGACGAAAGCTATGGCCTTTTTGACCTTCCCTCATTAAAATCACTGTGTGCATTTATAGTAAACGAAATCCTTAAACTTTGGAGGGAAATAAAAATAATAACTAAGCAGATTGTGGGGAGTGGAAAGCGAAAAGGACATGAAATGAGAGTTGGTCAACTTACACTTGCTGTTCTTGACAGACTTGTTGGTCGATTAGATGCAGCCAACGATCGCATTGAATTATGTCTGCCAATGCTACTACCTACTGGTTTGTCTGTAAGCATATTATTGCCAGAATCCATTCCAGCATTTAATGATGGCGGCTTCAATCCACCCATATCTCTATTCGGAGTTCTATTCATTGTTCCAGTTGTTTTATTGTTAGCATCATCGATACCACGGCGAATATTGTTCATACTGTTGTTATTCGATGGACTAAGGAATACAGAATCATTTATATTACTAGTGTTTGTCTGTCTACAAAACACACCAGACTTTTCTCCATCTATTACTTGCTGTCGATGAACAAAAAGAAAGCAATAAATAATTAGAATTGCCAATCATCCCATTAGTGTAAAGCGACATGAGATGGTGGTAAATGGCTTGCAGTAGGAACTAAAATGCACCTTTCGTCTGATTCGGAGCTCATCAGCAGGATAATGTGACTGTATTCGCAGTGAATCATAACACTTTCCCCTCTCTCCCCCGCTGAGACTCGAACTTAGCATCCAACGTTTCAAGCACTACACATAGTTTTTCATTAGGCCACTGTATGGGGAGGGGCAGCAGTTATTAGCTGTTATCTTATGAGGTAGGAGAATCATACACACACACACAAAACACGTCGACTTTTTGATGGTTGGTATGTATTAAATGGCAGTAAAAAGATCAACAGTTTCTGCACATCACTCTGTGAGCAAGTAAACGGACAAAATTCACATTGGTAGAAGTGTTTCCACTATATTATTAGTATTCGCTATCTGCAAAATGTGATTACTAGCACTACTCTTTTTGACGTCAACTTTGTCATTACATACAGAGTGGGTAGACATAGGTCCCATAGATTGTACAATTGCGAAATTACACTAATCTATTATTAACATGGGTCGTGGATGAGAAATAGTACGAAAACAAAGTGCAGTGGCTATTTGTGGTTCTATAACTGAGAACCATCTTTTTTTTAAACTGGAACTGGGAACAGTCAAAACTCAAGTGTTAGCAGTCAACAACTTCATGTTGCATCATCAATAGCTTACTCCATATAGGGTCATTTTCAGGTTATCAATCGATTTTGATTAGTTATCGCCATCGATTGAGAATATATTATCTCCTTACAGTTAGTCAACTAAGAGAGTTCACAAACTTTTCGTTCATACAATTTTATGATTTATTTACAGTGGTTTCAATTTTTAAAAGAAACATCTCCCAGTATAGCTAAGTAAAGGTGTAGTGAAAACCATCAACAGTTCGATATTTGATCATCTGGTCCAAACCAGCCACAAAGCCAGCATTGAAGAATCCTTCTCTATCATCTACCGTGTGCCAAATAAATTGCCGAAAACAGCGAAGTACCACATGCTCCAAACAGCAGAGGCTATTTCAATTCGCCTCAAATAACCAGTGCTTTGTGTGCAAAAGAAGCAAGTCCAGCCACTACTATTGCCCTGGCCTTTAGTGGAGATTATAAATCCATGAATTTGTATTATTATCTTTACTAATTTTTCTGACATTTAGTTTATTGTTATATTGATGCTATTTAACTATAATCTATTGATATTCGTGGTTATTTAAACATTAATGTTGTTCACAACACTAATTCATTCATTCACTATAATGTATATATAACTGCAGAGCCTGATGATGAAGTTATCGAAAAGAGTATTCTTTGTTCAGTATCCATTTTTTGGAAACAGTAATGATAGTGACTTCAAAAGAATAATTTAAGCTCCAAGTACAGTTCACCAACCCAACAAAATTGTTAAAATCAATATAAGAAAGAAAACCTACTGTTTTTAATTGAGCACTTTCACGTTGTAATTCAGCTGCTTGTTGTCGGATCCGACGTCGATTCTCTTCAACTTGTGACAGCTGAATTTTAACACGTTCTAATTCTTGTATTCTATTTTTATCTTCTTCCCGTTTAGCTTTTAAAGCATCAATTTGTTCACGAAATTCGATTACTTCAGCACGTAGATTTGCCAGTTCCAACTCTGTGTCTGGGATGTACTTACCAGTACCACTTGGAACAGCTGATACAGATGTTTTTGGTATTTTTTGAGACGTATCTCTAAGTTCACTTGGTGCATTTTCAGAATCCACCTTCTGCGCAGCCGCTTTTACATCACTAAGTGCTGCTGTCGCTTGCGAGATCTCTGGAGGATTTATTGGCATTTTAATACCAGTAGGGATAGGCGGTGTTGATGTAGTAGTGGTAGTAGAAGTGGGGAGTTTACTCCCACTTATCATCTTACGAGTCGGACTATCCGATTTTGAAATTTGTGTGTAAGATTGACTCATTATGTCTGATGCACCAGGTTTATCCGCAGAAGGCTTACTAGAAGGACTTTCAATTTTTGCAGAGGCAGTTTCAGGTTTTAAAGCTGTTGATGTTGGAGCTGGACTACTTCGTACAAGGTCTGGATTAGATCCAGTTGGTGGAAGCTATAAAAGTGAAGAAAAAATGAGTAAAAGTATGGAAAGTGATGGTTTGACATGCGCTGCTTCAAAAAGGAATTGGCGCTCAAAACAACGCCTACACTGACACCTCAAGTGATATGACTGAAGGATTAGTGCGGAACACTGCACAACACTTCATTAGTTCATGGTGCTACACTTCAAAGCACCACATAGAAACTCCAATGCTGAGTGCAAAAATTTACCACCAAGAAGAGAAGCAGATATACCTTTTGTAATTTAGCAAAACACGAGATAACAGAATAAACTGGTACTCATAACGTGCAACACACTAGGTGGTTGTGTTAAACATGTTGTTTATTTTAAATATATACAAGACCACCAAAAACTCAAGCTTAATACATGTACAGTAAAAGGAAGAGTAAAGTTTAACAACAATTTAAAGTAATCTTAGACCTTATTGTATTATAATTGCTACTCCCACGGGTTACTGGTAGAAAATTAGGCTTCACAGCAGCACAGATTCATTGCATCTTGTTCTCCGCAGTCTTTTCTTAGGTGGCTCCTCGACTGCTCATAAGCTTTCATCTTAACCTTACACGAACTCATCCATGCCATCCTCGGACAAACAACGCATCTTTCGCTTCCCATTCATGTTTTACTCGAGTGCTTGGAGCATGATGCCACGGTCTTCTCAGTGTATTTCTGATCCATATATATGTCCTTCTACATATTTCTACATGGGCAATAGGCTTTTGGGCAGTTGGCTGACGGAGTTCCTTGTTGCTTACCTTTCTGGTCAGCCATCTGATCCTCAGTATGGAACCAAGTCTGTCTGGTATGCTTTTGATAGTGCGCCAATTCTCTGAACCATATGGAATCACTGACTGACTTGACAATGGCATTGGAAATTCGGATCTTGTTACTTATACAGAGTTCGACGGATTCCCACACTGATTTCAAAGTAATGAAGGCCTGTATTGCCTTTTCAACCTTGCCTTTGACATCTTCATCTTTGCTTCCCGCCTAGGTAATTGAAAGAAGTGGCTTCCTTCACACTTCCCCCATTGATGTTAGTTCGTTCTTGTTGCTGTCGTTTAGGTTTCTAATCACTTCTGTTTTATCAATGTTCATTTGAAGTCCGGTCTTCACTGCCTCTTCCACTAACTTGCTGGTCTTTCGCTTGTAGATCTTCAAACTTCTGCGAAATCAGACATAAATCATCGACGAATGTCCAGATATTCCAGTGTCTTTTTTTCCCTCCAGTGTATGTCCGTCCTGTCTCTCCTCACGGACTGTCGCATAGCTCAGTCTAATATAACTAGAAAAATCGTCGGTGGCAGTAGGCTGCCTTGTCTTACTCTAGTCTTTACTTCAGAGGCTTTGCCAGGCTCCCTGTTGTGAATCAGTTGGCATGTAGCATTGTCATATAACTGTTGAATGAGGCTGATACAGGTTTGAGTTGCTGCAATCCATGGTGTCAGATCAGTTTCCAAATTACCTTGAATGTTTTTACATAGGCATTTACAAGATGAAATCCCGAAAGCTTGAACATTATCAACAAGGAATCTGAACTATTGAAGAATTGACAATTCTAGAAGAAACATAAACTTTATTAAAAACCTGTTTGTCTCATTCATTTTTAGATACGCTATACTGTAAGATGATTTATCTATATTTGATATTATAGACATGGTTTTCAGTGTAGAACACACTGGAAGCTGCAATTCGCTTAAAACCTTAAAATTAACCATTTTATTTATTTATTTAATTATAGCTTCATTCCACACAGTATTTTGGTACAAGTACGGAATTCTCCGCATATCATATCGGTAGTTCAAATTTAGCCGGCTGAGACCATTGATATCAGGTGGGCGTCGGTTGGGGATCGAACCCCGGACCATATGCATGGTCGGCGAGCGTCATAACTGCTGTGCCACCGACACCCTGAATAATCACTTAGAATGAAACACAAGATGATGAGATCTAGTGAACTCCAACAGTTCTGCAGCAACTGTTGATTTGTGCAGTTTACGTCCATTTATCACTTAAAACAGAAAAAGGTTTAGTAAACTAAGGTATTAATAAATTCATCACATAAATTGAAATATTAATAAAACAAAAACCACACCAGAAAGAAAAGATACCATTTGTATGAAATTAATAATCAGTTTAGAAGACAGTCTGCACAAAACATAGTTGGTGAAAATCCACTACAGAGTGGATTTCGAGGTGTTGTGCTTTGAAAGCACAGATATAATTTAGAGAATTACAAAAGATTGTGAGTAAAAACCAGGTATTAACAATGATCAGTTAGTATTAGTTAAGTGTTTTATAAATAAGCGAAAACATGATAAGTGAAATACAAAAGGTGAATACTGTTCAGTAAGAGAACGTAAAATATTAGAGAACAAAGGACCAGGATACATATGTAAGATATTGAACTACTAATGTCATATTCTGATACTCAGTATTTGGTTAACATAGGAGTAAGAACTTCTGTGTATTACTGAGTCATGGAGCCTTGATTTGTCAGAAGTAGACTTCAGCATTCTTATAACAACAGAAGACAACGTCCAGGTAACAGATCGTTTATTGAATACATTCAAGAGATATTTATATATATTCCTATGTGTATTATTATTAGCGTTATTGTTAGTGGAGAAACAACCTCTTCTTATTGGTTGTTTCTCCACTAACTGAAGGTTATTCTGTACTGCTTGTGACCGTTTCTCAGAAAGTTAAGCCATATATCTGCGAATCGTATCTGCACACGTTAAGTCCTCAAAGTTAAGCTTTGTTCTTGTTTTTTCTCATGACCTCGATTAGGGACGTCAACATTGACGTGGACTGCTGTCTATAATTTTGGCTTGCAGACGACTGTCACCACATTCTGACTTCCATTTAGGGAACAATGAACACTGAGCAAACTAATTTATTTAAATGTGTGACAAAAAGGGTGCATCAGTGATTCAGTGGTAAAATGCTCGCTAACTAAGCACCTAGTTTGGGGTTCGATTCCCGGTCGATGTACTAATAAAAATTGACTAGTTTACCAGTTCAGAGTAAGTCCGCAAAAGACTGAAGATTGGGTGTACGGCTAACAAATCCACCCCATAAGAAGCAGCACAATGGTTACTGAGTCTTCAAAACTTGAAGCCTTAAGTCCTATATTCAAGTCGGAAGGCAGTGGACTGAGAAAAAAACAGGTTTTCATGTATTCTAAATGTTCCTACAGTATCTCTTTTACAATCATTCATTTTATTTCTTTATGTTGGTCCATGCTAGTGAGAATGTTGTCGTCTTATAACCAGCTTTAAAAAATTCGTTTTCTCTCCTTCAGTTCTAAGTAGAATATAGGACTTCAAACTTTGAAGTTTCACTAGCAGTGATGTTTTGTTTTCTTTCGAGAAATATGGTTGCTAGCCTCATGGCCAAACGTCTCTTTCCCAGGTTTACTACTTGGTTAGGCGAGGTTTAGGAGTGTGTCGGCCGGGAATTGAACCCTGACATACTGAATTCCATTGCTTATAATTTGAGGCAGTAGTACTTATACTTTGGATTTTCATAGTTTTCTCAGTCACACAAAAACAGTACAAATGGTAGAGAAGGAAGTGCATCATCTCAGCAGCGATGTCAACTGGCCAATCAGCTACATCTATCATATGACTTCTAGCAATAATGCCCATAAGTCATAAGACGTGTATAGAATAGGATTTGAGGGCATGACCCATTTGCTTGACAACAGTGTATCTATACATAACTTATACATCTATTAATTATAAATCATATCTAATAAATGAATGACGAATCAACGTAGAACATTACTCAGACACGTGTGTCAGTCCACTTAATCATACTTAAACTTTAACCATAGTACAATGGAGCGACTACTTATAATTTGCTATTTTGAAAAAAAATATTCAATTAGTGTCAGTTAATCATAAAAGTATGTCGATGGCTCAAGATTAGAATGGGCACACCAACCAACCACACAAGATTCAGGGCTCAAGAACCTTGATATGATTATGAGCAATAAATTGTGCTCGAAACGTCATCAGTAAATATTACTCTATAACACTGTGAGACTATCAAAATAAAATTTACCCATAATGGAATTACACTCTACCACAGTGCCCAAGTTTTATTCTTATAACATGTATATTTCTCATAGATATGTGAAGAAACCAAGTCACCTGATTGGTTGTGGATATAAGCACCTACATATATATATATATATGTATATATATATATATATATATTGGTTTTTACCGTCCCGAGGACCTCAACCAGGAAGTCTACACCTTCCTACGTGTCTTAGACTAACTGTTGTAGATTTCATTGACTGGTTCCATGTTTTCGTTTGACCACGGCTAGCCCTTTACCAGCCTGACCCTATATCAGCTAACATGGCCCGTCGAGGAAAGCGATGACTAGGCATACGTAGCACATGTCCAAACCATCTCAGTCGATGTAATTTCACAGTCTCGTCGACTGACTTCCCCTCCTTACCTAGCAGTCGACTCCTAACCTCAATATTGCTCACCTTATCATACCACTTCACGCGGGAGATAGGACGCAGACACCTATGATCAAAGACAGCTAATCTTTTCAAGCCTTCTGCGCTCAATGGCCAGGTCTCACAGCCATAAAGGAGGACGGAGCGGACTGTTGAGCAGTACACACGCCCCTTGGTCGATAGTCGGATATCGCGTCTACGCCAGAGGTGGCGTAAACTGGCATATGCGAAACTAGCCCTCTGTATTCGTGCTGAGAATAAAACAT